TGAATCGCAGCCGGAGAGTGAAGCCGCACAAGGAGCGAGGCGTGAGGAAGGGGAGCCGGAGACTCACCGGGGTCGGCACCGATCGGGCAGCAGCGAGGAGCCGGGGTGCTGCTGCCGGAGCCCGACGGACATTTATAGCCCAGGCAGCGTGGCACTGCCCAGTGCGCCCCGGGCAGCCCCCTTGCCTCCAGGCTTTCCCAGCAGCTCCAGGCAGGTGGTTTCACCCGCGCCTCATTTTTGCCTAACGAGCTGTGTGATCCCATTAGCAGGAGGTGGGTGGGTTTGGGTGCTGCCAGGAGGAGCTGCCGGCCCTACTGGGGGAGTCTGGGGACCAAGGCACAGGTCAAGGGATGGGCGCAGGGATGGGGAAGGGCTGGGACATCCCTTGGGACTCCCTGGAGTCCTCCCCAGCTTTTGCTGGTCACCAGCCCATGTGCCCCCCTGAAGCCATCACTGTGGTGTCCCCCACACCACCAGCTTTATAGGTGGCCCCGGTGGCCCCAAGACAGAGAGTGTCAAGCAATCCCATCCCCATGACCCCAGTGCAACCAAACAGGCTCCACAGCGGAGCTGGGGAGGTGACAGCAGATTTATTTGAGCCATGGCGGGGCCATGAGCCTTAGGCACAGAAGTCATAGAATCATAGAATGTTTTGGGTTGGAAGGGACCCCTAGAGGTCACTCAGTCCAACTCCCAAGTACTCACAGAACGTGCTGTGGCAGCCCAGGAGGACCATGTGCTCCTTGAAGTCCATGATGTTGTCCATGTCCTCCAGGTCCTTCAGCAGCACCCAGAAGCTGCGCTCCTCCCGTTGTTCCTGGCACGGAGCATCAGCGAGGTCAAGGGCGGCACTTGCCAGCCGCGGCACAGGCAGGCATCAACCCCAACGGGTGGTTTCGGCAGATGGGGGGAACCGGTTTCAGGGAGGAGCGAGCCCTTCCCTGATCCCCACATCTTCCCCAGTGGTGGGGAGGGACATGAGGATGCTGGTGGGGCTGGGTCCTGGGTGTCCCCATGCTCACCCCCATGAAGCTGGGCAGCTCCTTCAGCTCGCCCTTGCTCAGCTGGCGCTTGTCACCCTCCTTCCCCGAGCGCTCATGGAAGGTGGCAATGCTGGAGGCCAGGGCTTGTTCCAGGGTGGTGGCCACCCTGGCAGGGGGCTGTTGCCGGGGGAGCACCGGGGACGGCGCCCAGCTTTTCCCTGCAAACCCCCAGTTGGGTTTGCATTGCCACCCATCCGCGAGAGCCTCTTTGGTTTGGAGGAGGGAGACAGGGTAAATCCTCGTCTGGTGAAACCCGAGGTGACCTGGCCTTGAGGACCTGGAGGACAACTAACCTTTCAGTCTCTGGTGGTCGCAGAGAAAGCGTCTTCCTTCTCCCAGAGATGTGGTGGCTGGAGAGGACCGTGGGGAAGCATATTTGGGGCATTTTCTGAAATCTTGCGCCACGTGGGACCTCGAGGCTGGTGCAGCACCAGGCCTGGGTTAGCAG